GCATACGGTTTCAATTGTGGGAGACAGCCGAGGGTTGCGGACACCTCGCCACGCCGGTTGAGGATATCGACGGCTGGAGCATAGATTGGAGGTTTGTCGATGGCCATCCGGACCTCAGCTATGTCTGCTCCAGCTTTTAGCATGCCAAAAGGCGCCCCGAAGGCAAGGTCCCCGATCGTGTCAAAGGCAACGTAGTTGAACCATTTTAGGCAATCGACATAGGCCGTCTTGTTTGCACCAGTTTTGACCAGTTCATCCCAACGGCCGACGAATGTCTTAAGGTTCTGATGGATGTAAGGTTCGAATTGGACTATTGACTTTGGAGCAAAGGTACTAGCAACGAGCTTCCTCTTGCGAGTATGCTCGGCACGGTCTCTGGTATTGAATAGACCACGTCTAATGGACACGAAAGCGTCATAGAAGTCGGACTTGAGGAACCCGTTTCCATGGCCGTAGATTATTTGGATGGCATCATCATCGGCAACGCTGATATGGTTCGGTTGGATCCGTACGACGGGTCCGAGCTTCTTGTGGACATCGTCCACTACGAAATGGCGTCTTCCCCTCCTAGCAGTATAGAGTAGCCATAAGTTGGTAAATTGAGCAGGAAAAGGTGCTGGGATATCTCGAAGGTGGCTGTATGTTACGAGATATGAGTAGAGATAGTAGACCACGAGAGCAATACCTCCAACAACTAGGGACCAGGGCGATATAAGCTGGTCGAGGATCGCCATATTGGCTGAATCTAGACTGTGATAGATTGAAGTCAAAAATTTTCTTTTCAGTTTCACCGCCCAAGACACGTTTCTCCTCTCACACAACTCTTGGTAGGAAAAGCCAGCGAGCTTTACTAGCTTTATATATAATGATCTATGTATACCAAGACCACCTTGGAACCTTTTTGGGGGTCGAATGCGGAGAATTTGAGTTATGAATATTGATGTGACAAGGTCCCCTCCAATTCGAATGCCGGTAGTGGCAATCGGGTCGTATAAGTCTAGAAATCTTGCGGGTTAGATGGGTCCCATTTCTTGCGCTAGCTTCAAGGTTTGCTAGCTGAGCTCTTATCCCCCCATCTGGGGAAACTGGTTGGGAAGGAAGCGTCTGCACGATGACCAAAAACCACGTTGCGAGCCCCTGGCGCTTTCCTCGTCGATAATCACTTTAATGTTGGCATCTGAATCCTTGGAAAAACGTGCGCCAATGATTATGGCCGGGGAGGTTGCTTATTCATTTTGGAGGGGAGAAGGAAGGAGGGGCGACATGTATTAAAACAAACACATTAAATATCCATGGGTCTCCTCAGCAAGGAGTGCGACGGGCGGTAGCTGATATCGGTATCTCATTCTGTCGACTTACATCACGATTGATGCACGAAACCGATGACAGTGTGACAATGTTTCACATCACATGTGAGGAATGGACTGTATTCCTACTGTTTGTTTGTTTCCTGTTGCCGTGGTCTAATTCCGTGTCGGGGTTCATCTTGGCGTACTGTTGCTTAGAGATTCTTGGTGGGGGATAGCTTTGAAATGGGTAGTATTGTATTGGATCGCAAATTTGTACTATGAAGTTGTATAATCTAGGGCTACTATCACTAATGCTCAGGTGTCTGGTTTGAGATCAAGGTGAAGTTGGAAAGTTGGAACCCTCGTCCAGTCGTAGCTAACTACCCCATATCTAAATAAACATTTCGTCCTATTTGTTAAATCAATAATATGTACGTAATAAGCCATATGCGTCAAACCAAGCATGCACGTAATCTGCATCGTCAAGCTGACATAAACCTCTACCTATTAGGTAATGCAGACAATCTAGAATGCCTGCTATATATCATGGATGAATTACGAAATCGCCTAATTCACGTATTCCGTAGTTCTTGGCTGATGGAATTATCTTCCCCGACCCGAACCTTGGCTATTATGGGCGATTCCGGGCCTCGGCTACCGGCGTTGGAGACTTCGGGTGGGTTACGCCCGTACAACTGGGAATTTGGGAATAGGTACAATTTGTAGGTGGGACTAGAGCGTGTTGAATGCGGTAGAATCAGGTATGTGCGACACTGAAATGCTAGCTAAATCACGTAACAGAAGACAATAGGAACATTTGAGTTGAACTATTTGGTATTTTTGGTTACTCGATTCTACCCAGTAACAGAATTCAACGGAACTATGCCTGACGATGCTCCCACTACCCCGCTACTCCGATAAGTACCCAGGTAATTACTTATAGCTTTCCGGCTGTGCGGAAGTCTTCGAAGGCCTCGATAACACGGGCCTTCATGGTCTTCTCACCTTCTCGAACCCACACACGGGGGTCGTACTTCTTCTTGTTGGGCTTGTGGGGACCCTCAGGGTTACCAACTTGGGTCCTCAAGTAGTTGATGTTGTTTAGGATGAAGTCACGGTGACCAGTTAGGTAGGCCCACTGGAGATCTGTGTCGAGGTTGACCTTGACGACACCGTGAGAGATGGCCTCAAGGAATTCGTTCTTGCTGGAACCAGAGCCACCGTGGAAAACGAAGAAAACGGGCTTGGCCTGGCCATCGTTCAGCTTCTTGGCGACGTGGGCCTGGTGCTTTCCGAGCAGTTCGGGGTGAAGCTTGACGTTGCCAGGCTGGTAAACACCGTGGACGTTGCCGAAACCAGCGGCAATGCTGAAAAGGCTGGAGATAGGGCTGAGAGCCTCGTAGATGGCAAGGATATCCTCGGGTTGCGTGTATAATGAGTTGTTGTCAACGTCCTCGTTGTTAACACCGTCTTCCTCACCACCTGTCAGACCAACTTCCATCTCCAACCATAAGTTCAAAGGCGCCGATCGCTTAAGATATTTGGCTGTTGTCTCAATGTTGTACTTGAGGTCCTCCTCTGACAGATCGATCATGTGGCTGCTGAAGAGAGGGGTGCCGTGCTCCTTGAAGAAGGCCTCGTCGGCATCGATCATGCCATCCAACCACGGCAGAAGCTTCTTGGCGCAGTGATCGCTGTGTAGGATGACGGGGACACCGTATACGGGGGCAACCGAGCGGACGAAGTGTGCGGCGGCGATGGCACCAGCGACAGAAGCCTCCTGGTTAGAGTTGGGAATAGACTTGCCCGCGAAGAAGGCAGCGCCACCGTTGGAGACCTGGATAACAACGGGAGATCGAGACTCCTTGGCTGCTTCGAGAACGGCGTTGACGGTGGAGGATGAGGTCACATTGACAGCGGGAAGAGCGAACTCGTTCTCTTTGGCATATTGAAAGACCTAAGGAGAGAAGTAAATGTTAGTGTTTCATGTTTGAGTCTATACATGCCAAAAGTGGTAGCGGTCATGGCTAGCTTACGTTCTTGACATCCTGGCCGTAGATAACACCAGGCTTGAGGTTCAGCTTATCCATTAACCCCATTATGACTAGCTATTCGGGACAATTGACGATAGGTATAGGATTAGGTAATTTATGTAGGAGGTAAATGGGTTGATTGTTAGTGTGAGAAATGAGAATGATGTTTTAAATGTATCGTTTGTTTTAAAACCGGTGAGAAGTCTGAGGGAATTAAAACAGCAACGACGAAAAATTAGTTGAAAAGTTGAAAGAAGGAGGGGGGCAGCGTTTGGAGGGGTTATCCAGTTATGTTGGGTCAGGTCAGATCCACGGTGACGCAGAAGCGCAGAACGGCCGAGAATTTATTATGGAGTTAATGGAGGCTTGCTTCAGGTGTGACCCGGATTATTTCGAGAGGTAAATTGTATCATCTATAAACATCTCTAGCCAAAGCTTTTTTTGGGTCCTTTGACCTTTTACCTTCTCACTAGTGGCCACTAAACCCAGGTACATCGATGTGCCGTCCCGGATACTTTACGGAGCAATGGACAGGCAGCTCGCCTTCTACAGCTTCTTTAGATAATATCAAGGTAAAATGCCGGCGATCTTGCAGTCTTGTCGGTTTACCCCTCCAAAACGTCAGTTTCTGCTCGGGATGTCAAGGTGGGGTAACCCGATTACTTCCAGTTTTCGGGGGGCAATTGAACTGGAACTTATTATAAATTCGGCCTATATCCAAGCAATATATCTGTGAGATTTACGAATAGAATACCGTATATCAAGATGTGTTATAATTCGAAAGCAATGTTGAAGTCAATTGCGGAGAATCTTTCATCATTCGATGCATGTGTACCATGGGAGTCAATCGAGACTGCCCCGCCAGACCCTCCTAAAGTTCTAAACTTTCAAAGTTCCCCCACTAGTCCCACTTTCCAATTCTCCATCTAAGCTCCCTATCTTATCAGTGAGCTATGTATGGATTTCGCTGGCTCTGTCAGGTACAAGTCTATTTATTACGTCTTTACAAATTCAAGATGCTCGCGAATCTTCCGTATTCTTTGTGAATGCGACTTCTTTCCTCCCGTCTCAATTATTATACTCTTCTGGGCACGGGTTACGCTGCCAATGCTCTTAATCAAGTCTCACCTGGCTAACAGGGATCAAATGTTGAGATTAAAGGCCATTACGAAGTCAAGTAACTCCGAATCTATTCTTGGCTTGAGGCTTTTTCTAGCTGAGCTTAGAGTTGATTGCCACGTGGGAAAGACTTCCTAGGATAGTAGGTAGATGCTAACATCGTCAATAAGTCTGTTGAGGTATATTATAATTAAATCTAGGTAATCCGCGCTTTTTTACAGGCAATCCTTATAGGAAGCCTGAGATATTAATTGTTCTCAATGAGAAACACGCGCATACAACTCCATTTAGCTTATTACGTATCGAGAACAAGCCATTCGCTCTAGCATCTCGGTCAAATTTATCTTTTTCAACTAGGCGATATCCATTCGAGTCCATATATTCTCCTTATAGTTCCAAGATTGAACTAATACGCCGTTCGTAATTGGTTCATGAACCAAGGCTAGATCTAGCGACTGGGGCATTTCTAGTGCAAGCTAGACAACCCCATTGGTTGTAATAGTAGAACCACGAATATAGTATTGTATACGCGGCGATGTCAACACTCAAAAGTCGGTAAGGCGCAGTGGCAGAGTGGTCTAATGCGTGTGACTAGAATATCTAGATTATCACATCCCTTCGGGGGCGTCTGTTCGAATCAGGCCTGCGTCGATTTTCCTTTTATAGAGTTTGATTTTTTTTCATTACTGTGTTGACTTTAATCTGCATTGGATTATTCTTTAGATATCTTGTGTAGGGCTCGCGTGCGGGTGTGGATCCTTTTCGGCCTCTCCCTTTCATTGGACGAGATTAGGTGAGATCAACATGACTTTGGAAATAGGCAGACAATGACATGACTTCTAAGTATATACGTCATATGATCTTCCATGCGTTGAAAAGATTTTCGTGAAGCAGAAGGCCAATTGTAATTTATGGTAGGTAATACACAGGTACTTAGACACCTGTTTCTGTGCATACCCATGGATTTACCTCATCAGCAAACTCATTCAATCCCTTACGGATGACTCCTCGGGTGGTTATTATTCTATATCGACTCTACACAAATTAGTCTTAGAATTAATCAGATTGGGCATACGAAGCCAATATGACTACTATTTCCCCCTTTTATGGCATACAAGGCAATGGCAACCTTAAATATTGTTGTGTGACATGAATCCCGGGAGTTTGTTCTCTAGCGCCCGTCCTTGTCGCCCGAATCTACGGAACTGCACGGCTTTTTCTGTGCAACGTTAGGTAGATCTAGGAAAGATCGCCTGGACCAATCTGTATATTAAAATATTAGATCTAGAGCTAGTATTTCTGGGGCACCTTCCTGATGTCCCCCTCCTAAACCATTTCAATCCTCCGTGTCTACGCACTTAAAAATGTACGTCGCTTCCATCTCAAGATGTGAAGCTGAAATGAGCCAAGCTTCCTCAACCCCGGCTCCTCGGATGCCTATCGGTCAGCGCTATAATATTAGCGCATGGTTGTTTTGATGTAGGCAGTGTAGTATCGTGAATTGATCATCACCCTCATCTTCAGCTACTAATATTGGGCATACTTACCCCTGTCTTGAGGTTGGGGGCCAAATCTCTTCAAGCATTTCCGGCATTTAATAGTTTTATTTCCCACTTTCTCAGACCAGAAAACCCGTATCGATATTTATCGTTCCCCTCATGAAACTCTCAAAATGGTGAAATCAATACGATCGGACTTCTCGATGGAGGAGATGTGGCAGGATGCTATGGTTAGATTTAACGAGCGCACCGGAATCAATATCAACGTAAAACCTCCGAAGACGTTAAATGACTGTATTAAAGAGTTAGAAGCTGCCCGATCCCCCGATGAATCCGACGGGAAGAAAGATGGGAAGAAAGATGCAGAAAAATTAGAGAACTATGGAATCAATATCCTCAGATGTCTGAAGTTACTCGGTGGTGTAGCCGCGCAAGGAGCCGAGATGGTTGGTTGTTTTTCTTGTCTTCCAATTAACTCTCTGATAGTGAAATGACGCTGATGTTAGCCAAGGTCTTTGGTGCACCGTCCACAATGTGCTTTAATGCGTTGTATTTACTACTGGATATTCCGGAGCAGCTCAAGACCTTCCGTGAAGCAATTGACGGGCTCTTTGAAACGCTTGCGCCTTCTCTCAGCGTCTTCAGAATTTATGAGAGGATGGACCAGTTCAACGAAATCGAGCCAGAGCTCAAGCAAGCCATTCATCAGGTGATGATCACCTTTGTTGACATTTGCGCTCTTTCGATCCAGCTCCGAGACTCGGGAAAGTGGCGCAAGTTTAAGTCCAGAATGAAGTTCCTTATAATTAATGACGACTCGGGCATCAAAGCCGAGATTGAAAAGCTCGAAAGGCTTACCAACGCTCATCATTCGATACAGTCGACTCAGACGTTAAAGGTGGTACTGGACACCAGGAGCGACCTTACGGAGTACTTCGACCGGGAGTCGGAAAGGAGTCAGCTGATAGCGATGGATGTTGCGAGCCTAAAAGCGTCCGACGACAAACGCAATTCTGAAGATACCCGGCGCAAATATGTCGAGAATATCAAGAAGAAACTAGGAATTGAGGATGCACTCTTTAAATCATACAAGGATATGTTCGACAAGCCAAGAAGGGATTGTGTACCTAACACAGCACTATGGCTCGTAGAGCGTCCCGAATTTCAGCGATGGGCCGAGAGAGATGACAAGGAATCGGAGAACTTGTTTACCCTAACTGGTGCCCCCAACACGGGCAAAAGTGTTATGGTCTCCTCATTACTTCATCATCTTCGGTCCGTATACGAGTCATCCATTAGGTATGCACCGAGAACCCTAATCGCCGCTCACTTCTTTCCGAATACCACGGCCAAGGACGATCAGGATAAGCGACCTATTGCGACGGCCCTTAAATGTATCGCTATTCAGCTCGCGGAACAGGATAGCGCGTATGCCAAGGCTCTTTCCCTATCTTGTGATACCAAGAGCGAGAATACAGCCTTCTTTAGAGACGCTAGCTGCGAGGAACTTTGGGATTTTCTTCGCATCAGCTCGCCGAAGGGGAATGTGACACATTATCTCGTTCTCGATGGTCTCGGTGGTCTACCAGAAGAATCATCGGACAATAGGGAACAGAAAGAACAGCTGCTGAAGATGATAGGAAATTCCGTGCAACCATCAGTGCGGGTCCTGTTATCCGTGAGGCAGGACACAATACGAACTAATGATTTCCCCCCACATCTGAATATTGATATTGAGGAGCATAGTAAGCAAGACATTGAAAAGTACATCGAACACTATCTTGGAAATAACGACGTTCTTCAAGATGACGAAGATGAGCCACTCAGGACAAAGATCGTCCAGACTTTAGCCCGACAGGTAGGCGGCAATTTCAACAAAGCGAAAGCCGCGCTCGAGAATATCAGGGAGGTTATCGCCTCGGATGGGTTGGAAACGGAAATTGACAAAGTCTTGGAAGAGTCGAATATGAATGAGAAGCAGATATCCCAAACAGTGATTAGTCAGTTAGAAGAGCGACTAACTGGAGAGGAAATCGACGAACTAAACGAGCTTCTCATATGGGTCATTTGCGGCAGTGTCTACTTCACTGTCGAGGAACTCAATGCCGCTTTGATTCTTCGGTCGAAAAGAAGAGGCACTCTGCGGTTAAAGAAAAAGTTGGAGGGTAAATACTCTAACATCTTGAAGATAAGAAAAGACGGCAGGGTGAGCGTTACCGACGATATGGAAGAGACACTCACGAAAAGGAGGGAAAGACCGAGAAGTGTTGATGATGCCCCAACATTTACCGCGACGATAACGGTTACCAAAGGTGATCTCAGGAGCGTCCAGTCTTTTCTGTGGAGCTTATCTCAGAAAGTCGACTCCTTAGCCCATCATACCTTCGGGTTTGAGGAGATCGCAGAACAGAAAGGCGTAAAGAACAGCATTCAACTAAACGAGGTGGACGCATTTCTGAGCCTAGTCAGGCGAACTTTTAACTTGCTTGCCAATGAGCCTAACAAGGAGTCGGGACTGCTAGGCGACTATCTTCTCAATTATCTACCGCAACATCTCGAAGAACTCTGGACAAAGTCAAATGGTTACGACGAGCTGACGCTACCTCAGAAGCAAGAGATTGGAGAGGGTCTTTTCTCGCTCTTTGTGACTGGCGAAGCTATCGAAAGGCATTGGGATAGCTGTCAATCGGTGATTTGGTACTACACCCCCAGCGAAGTACAAATCTTCCGGAAATGGCTGGATGACGCAAATGTCACCAGCCGTCTAGGGCGTTTAGATCGAGACTGGTTGAAGAAGGTTAAGGATAGCTCAAATCCGAATCAGGCCTTGCTCGAGAATATTATGCGAACGGTCGCCCGGCATTGGTTGTGTGATACGGAGTGGGTTGCTGTAAGAGCATTCGCGTGGTTGCGAGGGATTCGTGATATGCCACCACCACCTCAAGAACCAAGTAATGCCGATGCCAATAATGCAGTAACCGTTCCGAGCACGATTGAGGACATAAGAGAGTGGTGCAGAGGAATTCATCCTATCACTACTGATGAAGAAAAGGCGCTGATGTATGAACGACTCGGAGAGACATACAATTCTGAAGGTCAATTTTCGAAGGCGATTGAGGCGTATAACGATTCTATCGGATTGAAGAGCCCCCGCTGGCAGTGCCTTGAGGGATTAGCAAGGGCCTTTGCTGGAGATAATCAACATGGAAAGGCTTGCCAAGAGATGGAAAAGGCATTGGATACACTAAATGCTCAGGACGTTCCGGAGAAGCATGTTCATCTCAGCGCCATTTATAATGATCTTGCGGGATGGCAAGTTCAGCTCGATCAGATCAAGCGTGCTATCGAATACGCGAAACGAGCCGTCGACCTCAATCCAACCCAGCACAGGCCTCGTTTTGAACTTCTGAAGATTTATCTCGATAATGGGTTGGTTAATGATGCAGTTGACCTCATCAACGACTGTGTCAAGGTCGAAACTCCTAAAAATGAGTTAAGCTTATTTGGACAGATCATAGACGACATGCAATATTTCGGCAAGCCGGCTATCATGTTCGCCAGGTGTTTTAGCGCACTGTCTGGAAACCCGGAGGCTTTTGCTAGTGTGCTCCAACAGATGGACCTTGTGATCGAGCGGGCAAGAGTAGAAGATTTCACCTACAGAACAGCGACGTTGCTCCTCTATAAAGGTATCGCCGTCTATCGCTATGGGCCGGATGAGTCCACGCGTGTCAAGGGAGCCCTGTTGTGTTGGGATCAGTGTCTCGGACTCGGGAGTTACGCTGGAGTCCCTGGCCAGCTAGATACCATGAGTTGGATGTGTAGTTATTACTTTGACCAGATCAACGCGTTGATGAAATCAAACTCACCTGGTGCTGATATTTATGTTGGAAAGATGGAAGACTTGACCAGTCAGACGCCTCCCTTATCCAATATTGATGCGAAGACATACCTGGCAAGTTATTATGCCAGATTCGCCAAGGACATACCTAAAGCCCGAGAGGTCTTACGGGCACATATTGATTCAGCTTTTGATATACTTTCCGACGATATCGATGACAATGATAGCGACGGTTATTATGCCTTGGCAGAGGTCCTCCTGTATTGTGGCGACGAAAGAAATTCGTTGCCTGCGTTTTTCCTTCCACTGCC